GGTAAGGGTTTGGGGGGAGCAGATTCGCCTAGGAAAACACTGTAAATTGCAGCACAGACCTGTCCCTGAAGAACTCACGTCAAGCTACCGTCACATTCGTTAAAGCTCAAAAATCCCTATTTTACAGAAAGCCTGCCGTGATATGACAAGGTCTTGCGGGCAGAGAAAACGCTGAGAAGCTCAGCTCTAGAGTATGGGCCTGCCCTGGGTCTTTTCTCCCAGGCACTCGGGAACCTGACTTCCGGTTGCTACGGGGCCCCTAAACCTCACCTGCCTTGTAGTACTTCCGCACAGCGCGCCCAGTGGGCTCCGGCACTTCCGTTAGTCACGTGGCTGAGGGATACCGTTGAGAACTCTGATCTTTCAAGAGGCTGATGGGGCTTTTACCTGTTCCCTTTATTTCTCTTTATTTTGAATTTCTTTTAATGCCTTCACTTTCTTAAACTTTGGAGTTTGGGGGATGGAGTAGAGCAGACCCACAGGATGAGAATTAAGGCACATTGAAGATAATTTTTTTTTTTATCTGCACAAATTCACATCAACAGATTTTTAAACACACTCCCCCAACCCCACCCCCACCCCCTGCCCATGGCCCTGGGCTTGGCGAATGTCTGCATTTAGTAGGCATGCAATAAATGTTGAAAGAATTAATAAATGTTGTTTGCTTCTTTGGGCACATGGTGCTTAGGGCTATTGGGTAGCCTCAGAAATTAGGTGACTTCTGACTACTGTTTTGTTGAAGTTGAGAGGTTAATAAATATTTATTACAGGCATTTTGATGTTTTGGGGGGCTCCCCAAAACTGGGAGGAAATGTCAAGAGTTGTTTAATATGCTTTTCTTGAACTTTTTTTCATTTGTATGGAGTAAAATGCTGTGATTTTTAGAATTTGGTGGTTTATCAGCTCTTCTGTGGCTTTTCCTTTCCATTTTGTTTTCATTTTAAAGTATCACTTTCTGCAACAAGAAGTTAAGACCTTATGAAGTTAATCTCTTGTAGGGAATATGAGGCAGAAACTAAGAGATATCTCTTTTGCTTTCAAGCTACCTTATGGTTTAACTCTTGCCAACCTTAATTCACTTATTTTGTATTTTCTGCATCATTCAGCTGTTCTTGTTCTTTACAGTAACATTTGCTTTTAAATGCTATAGAACTTTTTGTAACCAGGAGAGAAATTTTGTAGTTGTGAAGTTGTGAGACTACATTCCATCACTCATATATTAAATGCATATTCTCTTGAGCACTAGTATAACCCATAGCCTAGTCCCTAGAGCATTTAATACCCCACTTTTGTGAACTGTAAGATAGTGAAAATATATAACCAATAAGGTAACAACCATGAACGTAATTTGAAAGGTTATAATTGCAAATTAAATTTAAAGTGTATTTGTTAGCATCATTATGAAGAAGCATCAGAGGGATACAAAAAGATTCATTCTTATCCTCTGGGAATTTACAATCTACTTGGGCATAAATAATGTAAATGTAAATTGATAGAAACAGATACTAAGTTATATTCAGTGCCTGGCATATGGAAAACATTCAGCAAATAATTGCCTTACATATTAATTTGCAGTCATGTCATTCTTTTAACAGAAATATGATACTGATAAGAAATAAAGGAAAGATTAAGAAAACTTTCATGGAGGAAATGAATTTGTCCTTTACGTGCTCCAAAAGAAGACTAGAGTATGCAAGCTATTTGTTTTGGGAGCTTGTTAAAGGTTTCATACATAAAGGCTGAGAGGTCTGATGAGATGAAGTTTGGTGGTAATTTGTAGTAAACCTTAAAGACCAGAGGAGATTGTATGTGATAGTAGAGGTGATAGAGACCTATCCTCTATACAGAGGTGGCATGGTTAAAACTGAGATTTATATTTTAAAAAAATTCTAGTCAACAACTGAGGGTAGTGAAAACTGAGGGGGAGAGAGTAGGAAAAAAGATTTTGGCCCAATTCTGGAATGGGATATTACTAGAGAGTGGATATAGACAGAGCCATCATTAGGACTTTTCTCCCCAATTACTGTACAATGGAAATTACCACAAGATGATAAAGTCAGTAATAAGCCTTGACTAGAACAAAGCCACAGTACCAACTGGAATCAGTAGCACCCCAGTTCTTCATTGCTAGTGGTGGTAGGGAATGTTGTGTTGACTGATGGTGAGCTAATTTATCCTGTGGTTATATTTACCCATTATTCAGTAGCAGTAGCTCTGAACTGGGCGTGCTTTTGAAACCCCCAAACCCAAGGGGCACATTTGGCAATGTCTGGTGAAATTTTTAGTTGCAGTAACTATGGGGCACTACTGCCATCTAATAAGTAGATGCCAGGGATACATCTCACCATTTACAGGAGAGCTCCCTCCAACAACACATTTTTCTGTCCAAAATGTCAACAGTGCTGAGGCTGAAAAACCTTCAGTGATGGATATGAAGCATGAGCTCTTACTTTGGAGAGCTATACAATGAGGCCCAGAGCCTAACTTCTATTATAGGAACAATTTCAACTGAAGAAATGTTTTATTTGTTTAGTGGGTCAAATGAAGCTCTGAAAATGGCAGTGTCTCTTCCTAGCCCTAAGACCTTAGAAACAGGAAAATCAGGAGGATACCTGCTTGAGTTTTCTACTTTTTATAAAATGGAGTTAGAAATTTTCCTTAAGGATTTGTTATCTAAAAGCTATTTATTAAATTAATAAAATGTGCCTTTGGAGTTGCTTAGCAACTTAGGAAAAAGCTTGGTTTTTAGAAGTTCATTTGTTTGTTTAAAACTAGGGTAGGTTGCATATTATTAGCTATATTACATAAATCAACAAAGAAATGTACACTGAAAATGGAATAAGATGTTTCAACACATTTTCTGCTCTCCGTGTCTGGCAATTAAAACACTCTTAATTGTTTGGTAGAATTGCATCAAGTATTCGACAAACATTATTTATGTATGAAACTTCAACATAATATTGAGTATGTAAGAGAACCAAAGGGGAAAAATTAAGCAGGTATGTCATAAAGTATGTGTTTATCTTAACCTTTCTTCTTCAAAAATCTTATCAACTAAGTACTTTTATCAGACACTAATTATACTCTTTCTGAAAAGAATTTCTCCAACAACCTTCAGTGCTTGCACCCTTTAATCATATCTCATTACATCTACCTAATCCATATCTTTTTCACGTTGCCAGGGCTCATTAACAGTTTTAAAAGCCAGTCTTGGACATTATTATTCCTTGTAATTGAGATGAAAATAATGCCAATAATACTGTATTTCTAAAATGTAATGGATCATTTAAAATTTGTTCTGAAGACACTTCTTTAAATATTAATGAGAAATTAACTTTTAAACATGTTAGCAGGAATGGTGAGATGTGTCTGAAAACCCTGAAGCCCTTTTTCAGAGGAAAAGTTATTTTTATAAGCTGTTTTAACAGTGGATCATCAGTCACTTTGAAGGGAAGTGATCCTTGATTAACAGTTGGCTGATATTGCGCTTCTACAGATGTGTGGAAGCAATACAGGTGCTACCTACAAACCAGGACAGATCTGAGCATTTTCTTTTACTGATTGAAAAATCTGAGTTCTTCAGTGGGCCTTCATCTTTGAGTATTGGCCCATTTAATTTTAGACAAGACAAACCAAATATCCAACTCAAATAATGAACTATATGTACCATGTTTACCATAAACTTAAAGAAAAGATTATAAATATGTCTAGTACTTTATTCCTGTTGATGTCTCATTTTTAGAAAAGGAAACCCAGATCCAATTTGCAGCTACATGACTAAATTAGAGACTCATGATAATGACATTTTAGGACTTGAAAGTCAAATCCTGTCTCTCAGAATATAACTACATAGGGCTAACATATTATTCTAAAATATGAAAGCTGCCTCCAACATTATGATTGAGTTTGAGTTTCTCAAAAGTAATTCTTTAAGAGCCTTAGATAAAGTTTAATGACTTATTATTTATTATGCACATACTATTAAGCTATATTTGAAAGAAACACAAACCAAAAGTAATTGTCATAAAAACCCCCAGATTTTGTACAAGTATCCCCAGCTATTATTCAATAGTAGTGGAAATGCAATAAAGCTTTCATTCAGATTGACCTTCTGCCATTTATTATATCTGCCAGGGTGTCTCTTATTTTAGGTGCTTTTTTAGATATATAGTTTTTAATCCTCACCTGAGGACTTTTAAAAAATTTATTTTAGAGAAAAAGGAAGGGAGAGAAATGTCAATGTGAGAAACACCAACTGGTTGTCTCCCCTATGTGCCCTGACTGGGAATCAAACCTGCAACTGGGAATATGTGACAACACTCCAACCAACTGAGCTACGTTGGCCAGGGCTTATTATATATTTCTTTAGTTATTTCAAATATTTTCTTTTAGAATTTTATGTTTGCTCTGATTTCTCTATACTAATAAGGTTTAGCTTGTTATTGACTTTAGGAGATTGTTATGAAACAATCAAGTGAAACCATATGAGAGCTGGTGAGTAAGGTGTGCTGTGTCTTATTGTTTATTGTTGCTAAGAACTGAATAGAATAAGTTAATTAGATTTTTAGGATCTGTAACTTTTTTAAAAAAATCACTTTGCTGGCAGTTTTTCTTTTAAATTCTCTTATTTACTAATTTTTGGGGAGGGTAACATTGCATGTACTCAGTTGTACACAAGTTTTTGTGTGTGTGTGTGTGTTTTGCTTTACTGAATACAATAGCTTGAGTATTCAAGTCCTACCAAATTTCTACAATACCAAAGACATTGCTTCCTTTAATGAAATTCCCTCATTTTATTATCAATTATTTCTACTAATAAAATGAAATTTGATAAACTTAACAACATACTATATTATCACAATTTTTAAAATGCAAATATAGTATTAATAGTTTAAAACTTTTCTTTTTATAACAATTTTTATCTGTTTTTTGTTATTGAAAATGTTTTGTCTTTTCTGTACTGATCATATATTTTCTTGTCCTTTTCACATTATTTTCAGAGGTGTTTCACTGGTCAATACAATGAAGATTGATGGTGTGATTGTCCAACTTGCATCAAAGGATAACTATTCATTGGCATGCTGTTATCAAGCAGAGATTTCCAAATATGAGTTCTCTAACTGAAAGAACAGTAGCTGGATCCAGGCAGAAAGGCCTCTGGGAACTCCCTAAGTGTATATGATTTGTCTCCAGACAAAGTTGCTTCAGCATTTTTGTCTGTTTATTTGTTTTTGGAATACTTCTCTTTATAGTACCCTCCAGACTCTAACTACTAGATGGATTCCTGAATTCCTTCAGAGCTGTCCCATGTCAGAATCCTTCATCTGCTTCCCACCCTCTGGCTCCATGAATTAAGAAGAAATAATAATAAAGTAATAAAAACCATTTGTTTCTGTTTGACTGAATCATCCCAGTCTTGAAGCACCTTAATGTGTTAATTAGCCTTATTGTTGCATTTACTGTCCTATACACACTCATTTGTGGGAAAGTGTTCCTCTTAGCCTTTGCCTGGTTGGAAAAAGGAGCAATAGGCCTGTGGCATTAAACTTTGCTCTTGAAGCACATGGCACTATGCAACATAAAGCTTGGACAAGCTTAGTTTTTCAGTGATGGGGTGCCGGTGGCATAGAACCGTCTTTCCCTCCCATTGTATGCTGGCTTTGATTTATTCTGAGCCATATCCCCTTCCAGAGCAACAGGTCTAGTTTAGTATGGGATGTGGTACCATTAAAAAGAGAAACATGGTGCTTCTTGTAAGAGGCGTTCTGAGAGTTTTACCCTAGCAATTAGGATGTATATTAAGATGATTAACAGAATCCTGCAAATATACTGCTTCTAGCCTAAGTGAAAGAAAAAGAGAACAGCTATTATTTATCTTCATTCATTTCTCATAAATAACCAGGGTTTTCAGTATTATCTTATCTTGGAATTAATTATTTCAATTCTTATCATAGTTTTTGTTCCTATAGATTATAATGAGGGAAACATTGATAAGAAATTTTAAATAAAGGACTCAAGATGAGGCTTCTTTCTGATTTTTAAACTTCAAGATCAAAACAAATCAGCACAGGGATGTGCAAAATTGTCTTTAAAGAAAATAAATTCCTGTGTAGTAGGGTTTGACATAAACTAATTGAAGATACTGAAGTGTCCACAGAAAGAATTTTAGTCATGAAAGCAGATAAAGGAAAGTTAGAAGTAATGTAGGCAAAATCTATCCAAATATGATTCAGAGATGAAGGAGTGGACTTAATTCCATTGTACTTTAATCCCAATGAAAAGGCCATTCCTACTGTGAATATCAGGCTATTTAGGCCTGATGCTTTTAATCCTTCTATTAAAATATAGCCTTATTTTGAATCTGCATTATTCAAACTATTTTTTAAAAAGATTTTATTTATTTTCAGAGACAGGGAAAGGGAGAGAGAAAGGGAAGAGAGGGAGAGAAACATCAGTATGCAAGGAAATATTGATCAGTTGCCTTATGCATGGTCCCAACTGAAGACCTGGCATGTAACAGGCATTTGCCCTGACTGGGAATCAAACTAGTGACCTTTTGCTTTTCAGGCAATGTCCAACCCACTGAACCATGCCGATCAGGACTCAAGCAATATTCTCTGCTTTTAAAATGTGTACTTATCGTGAATTTCAAATATATAATTTATAATGGTAGTTATCTTTAGGTGAGTAATGATTATATTCCAGGCTTTCAGTAAAGTTTTTTTTCATTTAAGTTATTCATCATAAGTGACTAATTCAATTTCTGGATCAAAACATTAGTGATTACTGTGCATCTATCATTGTTAGATGGATCAATTTTTAGCATGTTGATAAAATCAGGGTGTAAGGTTTTCACTGAGGGGTAGATCAAGGATTATAATAAATTGAGGCACACACTTCCTGTCACTTCCTGTGACACACAAAATGAATATAAAGCTATGTAATTCTGTTTGGGGCAGGAGAGTAGTTGAAGTGAATTACCATTGCTCAAACGAGAACTCAAGTTCTGGATTCACCACGTACTAATTGTGATATAACCTTAACTTTTATAGACATCAGTCTCCTCTGTAAAATATATTGTCAAAAATCCCTCATATGGTCATTGTGAAATTAAATGAAATAATTCACATAAAGTGCTTAGCTCTATGCCCAGAGTATGGTGAGATATGAATGGTAGCTAATGCATTGAACATGTTGTCACTAATGTATTGAACATATTATCACTAATAATAATAATATAATAAGATGATATAAATTAAGCACATGTTTAGGGAAATAACTTTAACAAGGACCAATTGCAGAATATTTGAGATCCTACAGTTTGTAAAAACTATTTCTGGTCTATTTTTAGACCCAGCGCAATTATCACCTTTGCCTTCCTCCGAAGGACCAAATTTTGTATTGATTTATGAGAGAGAGAAGTGAGGGGGGAGAGAGAAAGAGAATGAAAGAGAAAGAAACATCAATTGGTTCTTCCACTTAGTCACTCACTCCTTAGTTTGTATGTGAGCTGACCTGGGATCAAACCTACAACCTTTGGCATATCAGGATGGTGCTCTAACCAAATGAGCTACCTGACCAGGGCCACCCCCTGTAATTCTTTATTATTTATAATATTTGAAGAATAAATTGATAAATGAATAATCTTCTAGTCTTTCCCAAGTCTCAGAGCTTAATAATATCAAGATTTATTACTCCTTTACGTCACATTACAGTGTGGATCAGGTAGAGAGTCGGGGTGATTCTTTGTTCCATATCGTTCCATTCAGCAATTCAGGGACCCAGGAGAGGCGCTGTCATCTCCTAGAGCCCTGGAGTCCTTCACTGGATATTGTGCATTGGGTTAGGTGGGAAGAAACCTTGCTGAGGATTCTGAAAAATACCTTATTTCATTGGCCAGAAGTCACATTGCTCAATCTAATTGCAGGGGAGGTTCTAAAATATAATTTAGTGGTGTGCTTGGGAGGAAAAATAACGCGTTGCTGAACACAGCATTATCTCTGCCTTACCGATGAACCAAACACTTCCACCAACAAAATGAGTCAATTAACTAAAGATTAGCTGAGGAACTCGTCCCTACATAATTTATCTGCACATAATTTTATAAAGGTATATATTTCATATTACAAAGACTTTTCAACAGGGATTGAAGTCTAGGAAGGCTTTATATCACACCTTTTGATATATTTAGTTCTATAGGAATTCTCTGGGTAACTTTTTGTGGAGCATTTATCCTGCTTCATTTCTACTTAAAGCTTGCATATGTGAAAGAGATTATATCATCAAATGAGCATTTTCCTTGCTTTTATCATCTTGTGTCATTATCCCAACATTCTTTTATTATAGTTGTTATTGAGAACATACTTTCAGATTTAGCATGGAGATTAACTGTGAAATAAGTAAATAGCGAATTGTTTTGTTAGAATGAAGTCTAAAAGTCAATGCTTTTAAGAGTTTTTTTTATTGTTAACTGCTATTTCTAAATGACTATAATACTAAAAAAACAGCAGATTGATAACCTTAGATTTAAATTTTTTTCTATAAAAAACCGCTGTGATGGTAAATTTTATACACAGTGCACACTTTGCTATGATACTCCAAAATACGACTTTTTCTGAAGTTCTACTGTATCGATGAGAGAGTTGCTTATATTACAATCCATTTAGCACATGAATTCTCAGGCACTCTCCAAAAGACAGACTTTTAATGTTTTCATCATCATGTTTATTCACCATGCTTCAGGAAATAGATTCCAACGTCCTGCTTATTTTACACTTTACCAACAAGTTGCAAATGATAGCAACTAGCACTCAACACTTACATTAATACCAATAATCTGAGGCTGCTGTGTGTATGAATGGTTTTGTTATCACTCAGAGTATATTTAATATTTTGAAAGGAATACATATTTAAATTATTTTCTCATAATTAATATGCATATATGAAATTAGCCTTATATTTTGATATTTTATTAAACTATTCCTTATTACTCATGTTCAACCAGAAGATATTTTGCAATCTCATTAAGATACATTCTTAAGAATGACATTTTAGTAATTAACTGAAGTTAAAGACTGATACTATTTAGATGATTATATATTCTTGTGCATACGTCTGTTTTTTGTGATTATAACACTAATTAATAATTCTTAAATAAAATATTTATTGTTTTCCAAATTCATGCTATTTTTCATATAATTACCTGTTTTCAAATTAAAAGAGGTTATAGAATTCAAAATAATATCATAAGTTTTGTTTCCATGCTAGTCTAACCAACTCTAGCCTTTGTTAAATAAATAAATGTAGAAAAATGAGTATCCATAAATACCTTAGTTTTTTAATTGCAAGTGTATATTATTTAATTGAACAATTCTATGAGAGAAAAGTGTTTGCAAATAGGCACTTTAAAAAGTGGAAAATGGCATTTTTACTATTTTATGGAGTAGAAATAAGTTACTAAGTATGTAGTCATATAAAAAGCTGACTTATTATTTTAGGTGTTATGTATTATAAGCTTAGTTATCTTGCATTATGTATCTTTGCATATAACCTTTCATTGATTATATTGTATAGGTTATATAAATAATTTTCTTTATTTTTTAAATAATTATTGACAAAGATTAGTAAGCATTTATTGAGAAAATAATTTAAGTTCTTTTAACCTTTATACAAGCATCCTAAAACTTTTATTTCATTTACTCTAGTGAATGTGAACCTCTAGAAATAGTTCTAAGTTTTCAGTCTACTTGCACATACAAGTTATTGAATATTCATATGAGAAATTATTACCTTGAGTGTTGCTTTTTCTTTATGAGATTTCATATACTCTGTTAAGTATTAAAAAGGTTTAAGTGCTCAAGAATTTATTATTTTGTTTCTTTTGTCCTATAACTTAAATTGGTATTAGAAATTCTACATTTTTATTACTAAACTTTCAGGTTAGCTATAGAACATAGACATTTTAGCCTAAGGTTTTATACACATATTTGACAAAAAAAATTTAGTTCTGTAGTAGTTAAGCAGAAATTGTTTAGCATTTGCAGCTGTAATGTAATGCTAATTATAATTCATAGGCAAATCATTAAAAATTTTATGTTAGTTGATTTTAAGACAATTTCTTTCAAAACTGCTGTTACAATTCCCCATGTTTCCAGCATCATGCATTTTGAATTTAGCATCTGACATGTTTTTTCAACTACTGATTTATAATGAAAACATGTAGGTACTCGAGGGAATGTGTTAAAAGCAAAAATTCTATGATCCTTGAAAGATAAATGACGGCCGCTGAGATTGTCACATCTGGATAGGAAATGTTTCATCTGTTTATCTAT